ACATACATATAAGTGTATATATGCATGTGTATAAAAATGTATATGTATATATATGCATAAATGTGTATCATATATACGTATATAGAAATATGTATATATGTATATACGTATATGTGTATATACGTATACGTGTATGAGTATACATATTAGTTGACTTTCTCTGCGGTGAGTATTTTTCCTCTTGCAACATTGCCCTAATCATAACCTTTAAGTGGATAAGAATTAAAATGTTTAGATGGTCTACTTGACCATTGGATTTGATGACACAAAGCTAAATCGGGTCACTAATAATATCATTACCATTTTGCATTATAAGGCAAGAAACATCTTCAGTCGTTGGTATCATAAACTCGTGTTTCGATGAGTTTTAAAAGCTCTTTTTTGGTCATCAAAAAAATTTTCATTCATATTCATGCAACGCAAGTCAAAGAATATATATACAAAGAAGAATGTCAATTTCATTAAGTCTACCTAACATATAAAAAATATATACAGATTATTAATAATTTTAATGAAACAATATGGCTATATTAATATTTTATAATTATTATTTCTATAGCCATCAACAAAAAATGTTGTATTTGAAAGTTTTTAAAGAGTTTGGGTATTTATATGGAAGTTTTGAAAAGTTCAGATATTGATTTGGGAGTTTTATAGTTCAGGTATTTATTTGAAAATTTTGTAAAAGTTCAGGTATTTATATGTGATTAGCCGAAAATATAAATCCAATTTCATTAGATATCAGGATGCAAAGTTTTTCACTCCATCAAAATGTGATTTTTTATTTTATAATCTAATTATATAAATAGTTGTGTTTAAAGGATTGTGGTGAAATCATCATCTCATCATCCTACATGAATTTTTTTTATTGGTCCATAAAGATATTTATTAGCTACATCTAATTTAAAACTTCATTTACTTTAAAAAATATATTTATAAAAAATATTAGGAGACAATATAATAAAAAAAAAATACTATATTATTATAGTTTAAAACATTAAAATATTTTTTAAAAAAGATTGTGAGATAATATAAGAAAAATAATACCACAGTATTACAGTTTAAAAGTTAAATATTTTTAAAGATTAGGAGACAATATAATAACAAAATATTAACATATTATTATAATTTAAAATTTTATCTTTATTATATAAAGTCTATTATATAAATAAAGAGTTGTTCAATTCTTCTTGGCCAAAAATATTATAATTATTTTATAAGTGTCAACAAATTATTGCAATTTAAAGAGTAAAAAACGTATACAAAAGACGTGGCCAATAATATTCATTATGTCACTACTAGAAACAACGGTTGTAAAAATATTTATTAGTCACTAATTAGCATAATGTGGGGCACAATGAAGAGGTTATGGCAGTTTTTTCAATTTTTATTGGGTTTAAACGTATTTATTATTTATAATTAGAAAAGGTTGTATCTTCATTATATATACATAAAAAAAAAAAGAAACGAAATAGATGTTTTGGATTAAATAGGGTAATTGATGATAGTTCATGGTGTAAAAATCTTTACTATATGAAAAAACGATAATAATGCTTTGGAAATAAAAACGAGTTTAGAATTGTAAAATTTGCAGACAACAATCTCTCCCTCACGGTAAGTTCTCAATTTCGTTATTTTCATTCTCATCTCATCCTAGGAGGTTACAGCTATGACGCCGATGGAGGTGGATGTGAGAAGTAGGATAGAGCGCGAAGCGGAGGGTATTATCAAAATTCTAACTCAGAGGATAACTTACGATGACCCTCAACCTCTTGCTGATCCATTCATGGATTCAGCGAGGAACTGAATACCAGTGTGGGAGGTCGTCGACTGTGACGCAAGCTGAACTTGAAGATTTTTTAATGGTGATAAAGATCTACGTTATAAGACACTCACATAATACGAAGCAACTAATAAAAAAATAATATGGGAATTTTTTGTAGGTATGACTTCGACTTTGTGAAAGATGAGGCTTTGGATGGATGGTACGAGTGGGTTAAATTGAAGCCCTCAATAATACGAATCATCTCATCTCCCTTCAACGCATTTCCAAGACCACTATTATAGATTATATCCTAATAACCACTTTGTAAAATCCTCTTCTTTTAACTTAAAAACGAGTAGATAAAGATATTTCTATACGATTTATTTAGTTATCTAATTTATTTATCGCATTCAAATATTCTAAAAAAGAAAACTATCTATATAAAAATTAAATATATAATAACCACATTTTCCATTAGAGTTTGATATCAAAATTCTCCAATTTTTTTAAAGCATGTACAAAAAAGTTTTTTAGGATTCGCAACAAAGAAATGGTCAACCTCAATCATAAATCTTTTCATACCAATCCCTTTGCACGCCTTTCTCCATGCCGCTGCAAGTTGTTCCTACTTGAACGCAGAAGAGCGTGGTACAAAACCAAAATAAGTGATCACGACATTTCACCAAAATCCTATTTTGGAAAAACGATCGATACACTTAGTATCCATTTGGTTTATAATCCATATTATTTATGCATAAAACATTTTCTAAATTTTATTTACTAAATAAAAACATAAAAACAAATAACTTTTCGATTCATGAGATTCTATTTGATTGGATTATATTCAAATTTTATTGTACTTTCTTTCTTTTATTCAGTTTGAATTTTTTAAAAATTATTGCCATTTAATTTTTATAGAAAATTGTATTAAATTGTTTAGTATGAAATATCATCATCATTATTATTATTATGTGAATATATACATAAAAATATAGAAAAATCTGACCTATTATATTGATTAAACATATAGTTCACCGTGAAAAATATAAAAAATTAGTATTCAGCATATATATAAAAATAATTTTATAATATAATAATATAATGATATCTATATTCCTTTATCTTCTCTTTCCTCCATATAGATCAATATATGCCTTTTGTTATCTTTATATCAATAATTTTTTAAAATAAAAAAGTATTTAAATTGACAATGAAAAATAATAAACCGCGCATCGCGCGGTTCACACCTAGTATATATTAATAAAGAAATTTAAAGGAATCTGGTAATGACACATCATTCTCCACCTCATCATTTATATAGCTGAATTTTTAAATTTCATTGGTCATTTAAAATTTTTCTTTAGTTAAATATCATTTAATAAATATTTTAAATTATGGTATAGTAAAAAGTCTTCAAAAATTATGATTTTAATATTTCTTAATTCTCATTTGTTATAAAAATCATGTTAAAATAAAAAAATAGATTTTTTCCATCTTTATTATATAAAAATCTATTTTGGCCTAAATTTTAAATATTAAATTTAACCCTCAACTTATCTTACTCTGCCATTAAATCTGTATATGAAATCATTAGGATTACAATTGATAATAATATAAACAATCGAGATAAAATATAGCAAAATTATTATTATTAAAGAAAAAATTACAACTGAGAATTCTGAAAATAAGTATACACAGTGATATACTTCAACTCGAAATTGCTACGACTAGTAAACAATATAAAATGAAAAGTTGATAAGCTCTCTTGTTCTTCTTCACGTCGAATCGTGGATTCGAGAGCTTGATCCTTTCTCTCAGGAAGAACATCGGGATCGGTACATCGCTCGGCGACGGAGAACGGTTTGTCGTAACCGAACCAGCGAACAACTCCAAGTTTCTCTTCTTCTTCTTCGTCGTATCCTCCTCACTTGGAACAGGAGCTTCTTGAACGGCGTCGACAGTTGGATTAGGGTTTGTTGTGACCGAATTAGCAAACATCTCAGAGTTTCTCTTCTTCGTCTTCTCATCCTCCTCACTTGGAACACGAGTTTCTTGAACGGCGTCGGCAGTTGGATTAGGGTTTGTTGTAACCGAACCAGCAATCAACTCCGAGCTTCTCTTCTTCGTCTTCGCCTTCTCCTCCTCCTCAATTGGAACAGGAGTTGCTTGAACGACGACGTCGGAAGTTGGATTAGGGGTTGTTGTGACCGAATTAGCCAACAATTCCGAGTTTCTCTTCTTCTTCTTCTTCTTCGTTTCCTCCTCACTTGGAACAGGAGGGTCCTGAACGATGTCGGAAGTTGGGTTAGGGTTTGTTGTAACCGAACCAGCAATCAACTCCGAGCTTCTCTTCTTCGTCTTCGTCTTCTTCTCACTTGGAACGACGTCGGGAGATGGATTAGGGTTTGAACGGGACAATTTTGGATGTCGGGATGCAAGTGAAGATGCATCGGGTCTCGGTCTCGAGAAACGGCGATGATGATCAAAGGGGATATCTTCATGGACGTGGACGAAGGAATCTCGAAACATGAGGCGAAAGCCAAAGGAGCATGGGACGAGGTAGGCGTCGCGGACGAGGAAAGTATGCGTAATAGCCATCGTCTTCATCATATCTGATGACGAAATCTTGCTTCTGCTTCTGCTTTTGGGTCGATGAGCAATTGAACGAGGCATTGCAGGTGGAGGGGTGTCGGTATTTATATGCGTTTTCTTCTTCATCCCTTCTTCCGCACGGATTGGACATGAACCGACGCGTATAGCGTCATTTCCTTTTGTGAAAAAGGAAAATTCTATCACTACGATTATAGATATATTTCATTTTTTAACGACCAATAGAATCAGACTGTAGGTTTCCATAAAATATGGGATCTAGAATCTCCTCTCCTGAATGGATTTTTTTTCCTTTTCTTATGAAATGGTAACAAGGACTTAAGAAGGTGGGATTGGATTTGTGACCATTTTCCTCTCTCATAGAATTGAATTTCCACACAAGTTATAAGTTTATTTATTTAAAAAAAAATTGGTACACTCTCCATTGTCACAATTATTTGCCGTGTTGCAAAGATTTTGGATTCGATGAGATAGAATCTTAATTCGATATAACCCATCAAATCTTACTCGTTCTTACGAACGTTTATTTAATGTAACAAAAAAGCATTTCCCTTTTTTTGTTGTTAAAAAAAAAGCTAAGGGAAACCTAAAAAGGCGACCGACTTTGTCTGGTAGGGACAAAACTCCGATCACAAAGCCTTGGTTTCTCTGTCTTTGTTGGAGACTTTCAAGCGTTCTTCGATCCACGTCTTTCCAAATTCCCCCTTTTTTTTATTCCTTAATAAAAGCTGAAGCTTTTAATCACAAGCTCTCACCTTTTCTCAGATGAGGCCTCTTTGGATCCAATCTTCTCCGTTCCAGATTCGTAATTTCCAGACCCACCACGTTTCCTTTATAGAGGTCTCTAATGGCGGCCGTTTCCGGACACTTGATTGTTTCCAAGGTTCCTACATGTTCCACATTAGTCGCTCACTCGCAAAAACAAGCGGTGTGTTTGGATTTTCTGTCTCGTACCTCTCAATCTGGACACGGTTCGATTTCTGGGTTTGCTCATTCGTTTCTTTTTTCTGCAGATATTTGGTTCCGAGGTGAAGTTGAGATAAACTGAGGAAACCCAGCTGAGATTTTTAGCCCTTTTCAGGTAATTCAGCGGTTGATGAACTTTTCTTGTCGGATTCTTGTAAGAATTTGAAGTTTTTATCTCTCTCTGATCGTCGGAATGGGGAATAAAGAGTTTGTCACCTGAGTAGCGATTCTGTTATGGCTTCAGAAATTCGTTCAATTTTGGATGCTGCTTCTGTGGTGTTTAAATTGTTACTTTGCAGATGTAGAGTTCTGATCCTTTAGTGATTTTGGATTTGTTCTATTGCTTCTGTGTTAGTTTAGGTTTTCTATTTAGTTATTTTGGATTGGTGTCATGGCTGATATCCTTTCCTCTGAGTGTTGGCTAAGTGGCTCTGCTGCATTTCGATATCGCAAACAAGGCAATGTGCTTTTTAGAAATTAAGCATACTTGAGCATTATTTAGCTTCTTTCCTTCAGAGCATTAACCAAAAGTGGACTAGAAAAGTATGCAAGGCTCACTTTATTTAGTTGTTGGATTCATTCTGGTTACCGCATCTTATGTTAAGCCATTTGCTGTTTACTTATTGATTAGATTTTCTTCCATGAAATTCAGATATATAGAGATTTTATGATCTACGTCTTTTGGAGGAAGTTAACTGCCTTTTGCTTTAACTTTCGGAATATCTTGTAGTTTTAACTGTTTGTTGTCTGGATAAGGGATTCGTTGCTAACGGTTTAAGGAACAGTTTCTGGTGATTGCTTGTGCAGACTCTAGGGTCTGTCCTTCCATTATTCTAGGATTTCAGCCGGGAGAGGCCTTCACAGTTAGGAATATTGCGAATTTAGTACCTGCGTATGAGGTATTGAAAAAAAATCCTTTTAGACTGTTGTGTTTTCTCCATGTTGGTATACCTTTCCCAGAAACTTGATGTCATCACTTGTTTCTCTGTTGCTGTTTCAGTCTGAGCCTTCAGAAACAAAAGCTGCTCTCGAATTTTCCGTTAATTTCCTTAATGTGAGTAGTTCTGACTTATAAGCTTCATTAATGCTTTATAATATAATAAACTCCTAAATCAACTGTTGAAAAATTCAGTAAAAGGATCAGTTTGCAGTCTTTGGGTTCTTTTCCCTCATTCATGAAGAAGTAGAAACAGGGAGAAGATAGCTGTATTTGTTTTCATGTTGAGAAGATAAGGATTAGATAATTTCATTGTGTAGGTTGAGAACATCTTAGTTATTGGCTATAGCCGCTGCGGGGGAATCCGGGCCCTTATGAGCATGGAAGATGAAGCAGATTCCAGGTTTTCACCGCCTCCTCATCTTACTAAAATAGAAAAAAAAATAAACACGAGAATGGGTTATCCTCACTGTATCGGGTTTCATGTTACAGTAGCTTCATCCAAAATTGGGTAATTGTCGGGAAGAAAGCAAGGGCAAGCACGAGAACTGCTGCTTCCGATCTCCATTTCGATCATCAATGCCAGCATTGCGAGAAGGTACAACATTGCGCTACCGAGAACATGACCAATATATTTCAAGCATTGTTTTCCTCTCGAGGCTTGGGCATGCGAAGAGAATTATCCGTTTCCTTTACGCAATTTCTTTTGTCAGGTGATTTTCTCGATCTTCGTTCTTCGTTCTTCTTCTTCTTTTCCTATCGTTGTTGATTTTCTGGATCTTTCCTTAATTTTTTTGTCTGATATTCTAGCGATTGAGTCGTGGTCTGGTTTATATGCGTGTTGATTGTTGTTGCTTGAAATGATCTGATGGAATTTTGAATTTTTCGGATATGTTGAACTTCGTCTGGTTTCGTTGTGGTTAGGTTTTTTGAGTGAATTTTGGTTTTTGTATTGTTGTATTTGAATTGCGTATGGGGATTTTCTGATCATGTTGAATGTGCTGTTTTCTGTGCCGTTTTGCCTTTTTCGATCGGGATTTGGTCGGCGAGAATATGATTTAAATCGATGCGAGATTGATTTGCACGAGATCTAAAGATTGATCGAAGCTGATGATTCTCGCCTTGTTTATCGGCGTGGATGGGTTCTTAAATCCTTCAGAAGAAAGGTTAAATAATTATATGCTCGTGTGGGAAAAAGCCATGCAGAATGAATATTTACTATTGCTGATGAACATATCGTATACGAATTTGTACTTGTTTTTCTACTTGTCTAGGTTCCCTTGTTTCTTTTTGGGATATATTTATGATAAAGAATCTCAGGACATCATGTGCCACTGAATTCGAGTTTTGTCGGCTCTTGGTAGATTGCTTTTGCTTCTTACTCTTTGAAGAGGAGATTACATTTATGATCGCATTGTTCTTAAATGATATGCCGATGCCTTTTTGTATTCTAACTAGCCTCTGCGTTTGCAACTCTCTGTGACAGTTTCGTTTCGCTTATACAATCATCCCCATGGCTGACAATCACGACAACGACAAGAACATCGAGATATGGAAAATCAAGAAGCTTATCAAAGCACTCGAGGCTGCTCGAGGGAATGGGACAAGCATGATCTCTCTTGTCATGGCTCCTCGTGATCAGATCTCTCGTGTTACCAAGATGTTGGGTGATGAATATGGAACTGCTTCAAACATCAAGAGCAGGGTGAACCAGCAATCTGTTTTGGGGGCCATAACCTCTGCCCAGCAACGGCTGAAACTTTTCAGCAAGGTGCCTCCAAACGGGCTCGTGCTATATACTGGCACCGTCGTCAATGAAGATGGAAAGGAAAAGAAGGTTATCATCGACTTTGAACCGTTCAGGCCTATAAATGCGTCCCTCTACCTTTGTGACAACAAGTTCCACACGGAAGCGCTGAATGAACTGCTGGAATCTGACGAGAAGTTCGGATTTATCGTGACGGATGGGAATGGAACCCTCTTTGGTACTCTCAGTGGTATACCCGAGAGGTGCTTCACAAGTTCTCTGTTGATCTCCCAAAGAAAACACGGAAGGGGAGGACAATCAGCACTTCGGTTTGCCCGTCTCTGTATGGAGAAGCGCCACAATTACGTGAGGAAGACTGCTGAACTCGCCACACAGTATTTCATCAACCCGGCTGATCCTTGCTGGTTCAGCTGACTTCAAGACTGAGCTGAGTCAGTCAGATATGTTTGATCCCCGTCTTCAGGCGAAGATCCTTAACGTTGTTGATGTCTCGTACGGAGGAGAGAATGGATTCAACCAGGCTATCGAGCTATCTTCCGAAATCCTGGCCAACGTGAAGTTCATTCAAGAGAAGCGTTTGATAGGCAAATACTTTGAGGAGATAAGCCAGGTGATAAGGTTTTTATGGGTAATACGATGAAGAAGAAGAAGAAGCGAGAAGAGAGAGAATAAGCAGGGGACAAGGTGGGCCCGGTTCTGTTATCACTGGCGCAGCAAGGAGCAACCAAGGAGCAGCAACAGAAGAATCTTTCTGGCAGAGAATAATTACTGGGTATTCGGTTAATAGAATAAATTGTGCATGTGCCACCTCAGCTTGATATTGTTGGGTGAGCCTTCTATATAATTAGGTTTTCATTTTGGGAAAGGGGCATCGAAGATCTGGAATCTGGTGTATGGGAGAGAGGTATGCCTCTTGGTAAACAATTGTAATCCTTCTTCCTTGAGGAATACAGTTGGTATTATATATATATATCTATATATTCTGTTCGTATCTTAACAAACTTGGTATCAGAGCAACGATCCGCCATGCCTCCGAAAGATGACAAGCGTTTTGTGCATCTTGAAGATTTGGTGGCTTCAAGGTTGGGCAAGTTTGAAGCAGCTATGGGAGAAATCAGAGGAAACATGGGAGAACTGAGGGGCAATGTTGCACAGATTCAACAGGATGTTACCAAAATGCAAGCTATGAGTCAGGTGATGGAGAAGCTTTGTGGTATGTTGGAGCGTCAGGAACTTTCCACGAAGCAACAGACAGTACCAGGGGGTTCCGGCGAACACTCTTCCAGCAGTCTGCCTCGTCCAGGTGACAAAGGCAAAGCTCCGATCGTCATCACCGAGTTGCAGCCTTCTGTTCCACCCTTGACCACTATTTTTCCGGGTTCTGCGGATGCGCTCGATGATACTCAGCGTGTTTCTATCATTACGGGTAACGATCTCACCCTCCGTAAACTTGAAATGCCGGTGTTTGAAGGATCGAACGTAGCAGGGTGGGTGGTTCGTGCTGAGCGTTACTTCAAATACGGCGCCATCCGTGAATACGATAAACTACCCTTGGCGACGTTGAGCTTAGATGGAGAAGCCCTCAACTGGTATGATTGGCAACAAGATGAAGAACCATTTGCTGACTGGACAGATTTCAAGTCGAGGCTCATGGCGAGATTCGCGGAGCAGCCTTCCGGCAGAGTCAGTGCCCGGCTGTTTTCTCTAAGGCAGACGGGTTCCGCTGGTGAATATCTACGGGAATTTGAAGAGCTTTTGCCGCAGCTGCCGAAAACGCCAGAACCAGTGCTTGAGTGCGCTTTCATCAATGGGTTGCGCACAGAGGTCCGAAACATGCTTGAAGCTCTAGACCCTCAAGGGCTGAAACAGACAATGAAAACGGCGCTCCGTCTTGACGCGAGCCCGCTTTGCGCCGCTGCAACCGAAGTCGGCGACTATCGTTCAGGGAGATTAGCACCAACAACAGCTGCAAACCCTTTTCGCACTCTCTCTTTACCATCACCTGGGCCCACTGGGCCTAACTATTCTACTGGGCTTCCTTGGCGTCAAGAGCATGCTACAAATCCTTCTATTGGGCCATCACCTGCAGGGCCCAACTCTGCAACTCTTCTAGCAAAACCTCCGTTTCGCAGGTACTCCGACGCAGAGCTCGACGAGAAGAGACGCCGCGGTTTGTGTTTCCGGTGCGACGAGAAGTATTTTTTCGGCCACCGCTGCAAGAACCGCGAGCTGCAAGTCATCGTTGTCAAGGAGGAAGGTGAGTTTGTACTGCCTTTGGATGAAGAACCTGAGCCGGACCAGATGCCGATGACAGACCAGACAGAACCTGAGTTTGAGGAGATAAGCCAGGACACAGGGGAAATACGTATTTGGTGTTGATGACACGCTGAAGGCATTGGAGTCGGGAGCTGTCGAGACGCTGATCGTGTGGGAGAATCTGGACATCAACAGATACGTGATGAAAAATAACGCGACGGGTGAAACACTGATCAAGTTTCTGAACAAGGAACAGGAGGGCAATATGGAAAACTTCAAAGCCGAGAACAGCGATCTGGACGTGGAGGAGAAGATGCCGCTACTGGAGTGGCTGGCTAACGAATACAGACAATATGGATGCAGCCTCGAGTTTGTTACGAATAAATCGCAAGAAGGGTCGCAGTTCTGCAGAGGGTTTGGAGGGATCGGAGGAATTCTCCGTTACCAACTTGACTTGAGCAACTTTGACGAGGACGATGGAGAAATTTACAACGACGATGATAACGATTCTGAATAGCAATCAATCGACCGTTTCCTTGTCGCTGGTTCGGGACGATGGGGCGCTGAGCCTGAACCAGCCGGCGTGGGCACTCGGGCCTCACTTTCACGCGGGATATGAAAAGAAGAGAGTGGGAAACCAGACTTATCCAGTCGTTTTGAGTGAGGTACGTACGTCTCTCTAAACCTTTAGATAACCTCGAGTTCATCTCGGAGAATGATCAATCGAGACCGGTAACGATATCTCGAATTTGGTTGTGAACACTGGGCTTAGAGGGCGAAAGGGGCATGGAACATAAAGAAAATGGGTCTTCCTCGTTAGTTTGCATTTCGGGCATCATTGTCTCTGTCCGAAAGGGAATGTCTTGGAGTAATTTGGTGTCGTGTCTCTTGTACTCGCGCATTGATCGGTTCGCGTGTGAATAAATTTTGGATGGAGGACGAATGCAAAGGCTATATGCTATGACTTCTTTTCAAGTGTTGTATTGTTGCAGCTGCTTTACTCTTTCTTGTTTTTTCCCTGTCCCCCCGATCACTTTGCTTGTGGATTTTCTCAAATCTCTGTCTGGAATCACGGGCATGAAAAAAAAGAAGAAGATATTTTTGTCTTATTTTGGCATTCAATTTAGAAAAATAAAACAATAATCATTGCTGCTTCAATGGTGGATGGTCATTTCAGATTTCATTTTAATTATGTTCGAATTCAAAATCCATAAAACCAATGCAATTATATTTGAATTCAAAAATCCATAAAACCAATGCAAGTCAAAAATCTCGAAATCATATGGTTACACTTTGTGATTTAGTGTGAGATTTTGAAGAAACAAATTTGTAAATTTTTATCAAATTAAAAATTGATATAGGGATTAATAAATCAACAAAAATTGGTGGTGAATATAGAATAGTTTTTAGAAAAATAAAAAAAATAATCATTGCTTTAATGGTGGATGATCATTTTGGATTTATAGAAAAATTATAATTATTAGATTTTTATATCAAAATTCATTTTTATTAATAAAAATATATTCATTTTTTTCCTTGGTAACAAAGGATGGTAAATTTTTTATAAAGAAAATTTATTTATTCCATTTTTACATAGAATTTGGTCCATTCGATGTGTTTGGGTTTTTGTAGGAGCTTGATTTTTTATTTTAATTATAAATATGTTAGTCTAAAATCAGGTTAGGTTCAATTTTTATATGAAACTTTTTTATATTATTGAATTCAATTAAAGAATAAATTGTGTGGCATCCAACAAGTTAAGTGCATATTTCTTAAATACTAGACAATTCCAGTACCGCTTACTGGGGACCAAATTCTGAAATTAATGTTATTCTGTCAAACTAGCATTTGAAAAAAAAAATTCTTACAAATTTATTATTTAATCTAAATCCCAAAAATCGGAGAAGAAAAATTGAGCTCTAAAATCAAATATATAAATAAAACAGGGTTTTCACTTTAAAAAAGTGTGTATAACAAAATTTTTAAAGCATATGTTATTTCACTAACTGTAATGATTTTTTGGTTAAATTTAGCAAAATTTGTCTCTTTTTTTCCACCGCGCGATGAAAAGGGTGTTAGGAGTGGACATTTCGGTTCAGATTTTTAGAATCGAATCATATAGAACCGAAAATTTTGATATTCTCTGAACCGTATCGTTTAAAATTTCTGAACGGTATATTTTTTGTAGAACCGAATTTTTCAAAATCGAATCGAATCGAACTTATAAAATTTTCGAAAAACTTTTTTTTTTTAATCTAAATTTTTTAACAAAAACCGAAACCGTACTGTATCAGAACCGGAACCGAAATAAACCGAATCGAATAAAATACAGTACTAATTTGGTACCAATTTTAGAATACTGAATAAACCATTCCCAATTCGAACGGATAAAATTCTGAACCGAATCTCGGAACGCGGTGGGCTTAAAGGTTATGACGGTTGGTAGAACGAGTTTGACCGTGTATCAGAACAGATTTAAAGAGCTTAATGAGAACTAATGTTGATTTTCATTAGTAATCGTTAATCTTTAATTAACCCGTAACTATTTAAGATTAATTAAGTTTAATTTACGATTAATAATGCCATTTCTTTGGGACAAAGGCGTTGGTTTCATCTCCCCCACCTACTACGAGCGTCTCCCACAGTAAGTGCCTCCTCCCTTTTCCTCTTCCGCAAGTCATTGCCTTCTCCCAATCTTCACATCTGCTTCAGGGTTTCCTCCCAGGGGAAGAAGCATGGCGCTGCAAATGCAGAGCTCTTGTACGGCGTTGACCACCTCTTCCGCGATCTCGATATTTTCACCGGCAGATCTGCGCCTCGGTCTCCGGCCCAGAACCGTAGCGGTTCTGCCGGGGAAGTTACCGGCGTGGCGGCGTGTGTGGTGCAACGGTGGCGGAGATGTCGGGAAGAAGAAGGCGGTGCCGAATGCGAACTATGTCGTGCCGTTGGATAAGTTCTCGTCGTCGTCGTCGATCACTCGGCCTCTGGTCGAGATCCTTCGCGACCTTAATAAGAAAATCCCTGATAATATCGTTAAGAGCAATGATCCTCGCTCCAACACCGGTTCCTCCGGTTTCATTCCATGGTACTGCTTTCTTTCTTTTGGCCTTTTTTTTCTGGGAATCGAAGAGCTCGAGTGTTGTTGCTGCTTGATCTGACTTGCTTGAATGATCCGTAGGTACCATGCGAATCGGATGCTCAGCTTTTACGCTCCTGGTCAGTATGAGCTCTTGCATACAGCCCCCTAATTTTCGAAACTTGCTTTGTTCTGTGTAATGGCTGATCCTTTGTTCTCTGTAATGCTTTGTTCTGTGTAATGGTTGATCCATCTGTTACGATTCAAATGTTTTTCCTGCAGGATGGTGCGGGGAAGTTCGTGATGTTATCTTCGCCGAGAATGGCAATGTCACAGTGGTATACCGTCTCACTATTCGTGGCTCTGACGGTGAGGTAAGCTTCTTAGGGTTCTTCGCCCTTATCGCCCATCGGGCAAAATCGATTTGTAATTCTCGTTAGATTTTGAAGTTTGATTTGCAATGCACTCATGAATTTTTGTGGACCCTCTTAAGCTACTCAGTGAACTGAATTAGATAAAGCAACCCGTGTGTTCATTGCTGCTCGTTACGTTTTCAATCTAGCCTTACCCCTTTCGCCAGGCTCGCATTCTTGGTTCTGGTAGCAGACGCTTGTTATGTTGTTACTATGGATTGCTGATTGTAATTTGTTTATGAAGATTATCCTTACTAAGGAGAAGAACTAGTCAATTACCATTCCTTTCTCGATATGATTTGAGTTAGGTGTGCCTTGGTCATTTAAGAAAGGCATTGCCTGAGGGGTTATCTTGTATTCCGTTCTTGTGTTGGGCATATGGTGAGAGTTAGTAGTAAGTTATCTGATGGCAGATCTTCAATATGATTTTCACTGATCATAACCTTTGCCCAAATTTGAGAGAGTCAGATCTGGCTTGTTGGGTTGCCAAGCAAAGTTAGATCTTTATGGATTCAGGAGTTAAAATGTCGTTGTTTTGAGGTTTATGTCCATCTGCCCTCGTGGATCAAAACCAAATTATGATGTATTTTCGGAAATCCTCTGGCCCGAGAGTGGAGGGACCTTGATCATACTTGGTGTAGACCGATAGAATCTCTAAGTTAGCCATACCTGCATGTTAAATAGGGTAGGTGAAGGTCGAAACAGCCATAAAAACCAAAACTCAGTGAAGTAACTTGACTGTAGGAGTAAGCTTTAATATCTATGCTTTGATTCTCAAGAAGTTAAAAATAATCCACATTGGGTTTTGGTCATACAGGCACATCGTGAATCGACCGGGACAGTATCAGCAAGTGACGAAGACATCGAGGATCCAGTTGCTGCGGCTGAGGAAATTGCATTCTGCAGGGCATGTGCTCGGTTTGGTCTTGGCCTTTACCTTTATCATGACAAATAGGCTCAACCCCCGGCTTAAATTGAACATTAGGTATTGAAAATATACACTCAAAGTCGGTGAAATTTCCAAAAGAATGTGCCTTTCGAACTTATGTTTCGATCTCTGTAGGCATTTCCTGCTTAGTTCTAGAGCAAAGTTATGCACGTAAAACCCGAAAGAAAACGGTCGAGAGAAAAACTTTGATGCCTGAGTATGTTTATAACCAAACTGAATCTGTTATATGACATTCTTAAATATGTGCATTGCCATGTGTTTGTATCAGGAGTTATGTTTGCTACTTTGGTACGTTAGTGTAGTGTTTGCGTACATTGTTATTATTTGAGGCGGATATTTGATTGTGAGCAGACGTAGACAAGACAAGACACAACTCTAACGTCAGACCAGTCAGAGGGATCCATCCCAAGGCATTGCCTGACAGTGTCGGTAAACAAACTGTGAAACAGGAACAGTGTCCGAACGAGGACCGAAAACCGGTAATGTGCAGACCGAGAATTCCGGCATATTGATACTGATCCTTTCCGTGGTTGTGCTACGTCTGATTCTTTCTTGGGGTGGGTAGGACGGGATCCGAAATTTCAAATATCCGCTTGACCACGAATTGGGTACTCATCTACAGGCGGGGCGAGTACGAGTTCTAGTTTCGGTCAGATATTACCCGTGTCCGACGGATACCCGAACAGATGAGGGCGAGAGGGCATGGAGTTCGTGATTAGGGTGTTAATAATTAGAGGTTAGGATTAGATATTCCGGGTTTTTTTCAACCAAAAAAAAAAAAAAAGAGGATTAGGGTACGCCTCCGTTGCATTGCTTTACCTTTGCCCTCTCATTTTTCATCAACTCACCTCGTCCTTACCCTTTTCTCTCATCTTGCCCACTTTTCTCGTCACTCGTCCCCTCGGCTCGCCACTCCCACCTCACATTTGCCCTCCCCGGCCGAGCATCCAAACCTATGGGGTAGTCCAACCGAAAAGTTTGAGCGCACGAGCCGAGGTTGGGTATTCAATCCATAGCTACCCTAATTCTTCCGGAATGGCTTTCGGCCGACAATCACGGAACCGGAGGCGAATTGCATCAAGACGATGAAACTTATTGGTGCATCTTCTCGGTTTCGTTTTCTTGGAGAAACTTTTTTTGCTTATTATTATAAAACATTTTATTTTTTACACCAAAGAAAAATAACACTAGATACAGAAACTTGTTAGAAACAAAATTGCTACATTGTTTTATCAGTTTTAGTTGTTATTAGTTGTGACCAACATCATCAATATAATCTACTATATAAGTTTAATTATCATGATTAATTAGCAATTATATATAATACAATAATATGCCAAAAATCATACCCTGACTCATTTTTTAAATACAAAATATATCCGATCTCTAAAAACCCTTTGTAAGGCATTCAAAATCACATTATTGTTCTAAATCTATATAACTTGCTAATAATTTTTATGATGCATTCAAAGTTCGAAATTCCTTGTATTGTTCATTGTTGATGAATAATATGATAAAATCTTATAAATTATGTGATATTGGCTTTTCACCCTAAAAAAAAAGATTATGGTTAAACGGAAAGGGCAAATATGTGTTTCCACCATAAACAAAAAAGAAGGTCCATATCCATATAAGTCGTAGATTAGGGCCTAATTACACGTAAATGATCGATTTTAATTAATGTATAATTCTATTATTAGATTTAGTTGTGGTTTCCAGCATGGATTTCCTAAATTACAGCCGGCATTCCAACAAAAAAAAAATTATAGCTTAATTATTGTTTTCATAGTAAATTAAAAAAATTTACAGCAAGCATTTCCAGAACTAGGTTTTGCTCTTATATGATTGAGAGGAAGTTGAATACTTTATCCATTTTGATTTTGATTTCGACTTAAATATGAACCGCGTGCCACGTATCAACTTAGATCCGTATTACTTATAGGCAGCAACGTTTATTAGCTTTAATTTAAAGACATAGTAATAAGAGCTTAATTGTTGTTTTAAGAAAATGATAATATACACTTTAGCACAAAAACAACACGGCTTTATAAATTTACCAAATTTAGACAAACACACGACAGCTTTAAAATTTTAAAATAGACCGGAACTATTAAAAAAAATCGCATATTAATTAAGCAAACTTTGTGTAAAAGAATCTCTAATAAATAAACTTTCAAAAATCATCAGTAAATTAAACATTAAACTTTTAAACAATTTTTGAAAAAATAAAAGAGTTTTTATATTTGTTATTTTGGAAATTTTAATAGTTTATATATTTGTATGAGATTTTTTTTATAAAATTGTGTATTTCAAAGATTTGATTCTTTGACCACCAAAATTTAAAAAAAAAAAAAAAAAGAATATTCACCAAAAGGGACTTGGTTTTCTAATTCAACACAGACACACCATCAAACAAATGAACCGCGTTAACTCAGTCCAACCCATAAAACAAAGTCCCTCTAAAGACATAATCTCACCAATGAGATTACGTTTCGATGGCATTTTTTGTCTCCGACTCTGTTTGCCCCTTCTGGGTTTGGTCTCTTCTTGCTCTGTCTTCTCTCTCACTCAACTGTTCCTCACTCCCCACTGTCTCCATCTCCGAAACCTCAAACCGAACACTCATATGTGCTCTCTTTCATGGTTCTTCTCTTCGTTGTTCGATCTTCCCACGAGGGTCGATCGGGTTTCCCATCAACGATCACATCCCGAACCGGACATTTGCAGGTGTTGTCTCCGGTAATGGCTTCGTCTGCGCGTTGATATCGCCGATGGGTCTGAATGCTTCTTCAGTTCTGTGTTGGAGATTCTCTGCAAACGGTAGACACATGTCCCGTAAGAGAATCTATCAAGGTCCCGAGCTTGAGGAGCTCGAAGCAGGAAATTCCCGAATTTGCGGAATCGAGAGTGTGTCTAGACGCCTCCGTTGCTGGCAACCGGTGTCTCCCTCGCCGGAAACCTACCCGAACTTCTCTTCCGTCGCCATTGGGGAGAATTTCCTTTGTGGGTTATCTCCTTCACCTGGGAAGATTACCTGCCATGGACAAGGTATAGCTAACGCACCGAGCGGAGACAACAATTACGCAGCGATCGCAGCTGGGTTCAGACATGCGTGTGCGATCACATTGGACAATGATGTCCACTGCTGGGGACAAACCCAAGGTTCGATACCTCCAGGCGAAAAGTTCACATCCCTGGCGTTAGGGCACAACCGAAGCTGCGGGCTGAGATTGTCGAATGGAACAGTGGTCTGTTGGGGAAGCGACAACTTCAGTTTGCCCAACACGCTGGTGAAAACCCAGTTCAGCTCCATTGAAGCCAAAGGTAGAATCTTTTGTGGTGTCACCACAGCAAATTCCTCGTTGAGTTGCTGGGGAAATGAGGATTTCGAATTGGGTGTTTTCGCTCCGTTCCGAACTGAATCAGTGCTGATGGTTCTTCCTGGACCCTGCAGAAGAGAATGCCCTTATGGTCCATTGCAGGGTTCGGAGAGATTATGCAGCAAAGGGTTTAAAATTTGCCAATTCTACAGAAGAGATCCCTCGAATGGACCCAGACCCGTATCTCCAGAACCATCCTCAACACGAAACTCAAAGAACAGGGCTTGGGAAGGAAGAGACATAGGATTTCTCGTAATCGGAATTGTCGGATCACTTTCTTTGATCCTCGTTATCGGTTTCTTCCTTTTCAAACACTGTAAAAACCGGCTCGGATGCAGAGTCCATGACTCACGACGCTTGGACGAAACCGGGATGAGAGAACAGCCCAAGCTCGAGAAGAGGCTGAGCCAATTGGCGAGCTTGGGTAACACGAACCAGCTCGAGGAGTTCTCGCTCGACGAGCTGGCTCGAGCCACCGACGGCTTCTCCGTCCAGTCCAAGATCGGGCTCGGCAGCTTTGGCTCCGTCTACCACGCCGTGCTCGCCGACGGTCGCCACGTGGCGATCAAACGGGCCGAGACTACGAATCCATCCTCGTACGGAACGTTGAGACAGAAGCGAGACGACAGGGACAAGGACACGGCCTTCGTCAACGAGTTGGAGTCGCTGTCGCGTCTGACCCACAAGAACCTGGTCCGTCTTCTCGGCTTCTACGAAGACTCGAACGAGCGAGTCCTGGTCTACGAGTACATGGACAATACTACCCTCTCCGATCACCTACACAATCCTCGATTTACCCCTCTGACGTGGCAGGCGCGCGTGAAAATCGCGCTCGACGCAGCGCGTGGGATCCAGTACCTCCACGAGTTCGCCGATCCTCCGGTGATCCACCGCGACATCAAGCCGTCGAACATCCTCCTCCACGGCGGAGGCGCGTCGGAGACGGCGAAGGTTTCCGACTTCGGCCTCTCCCAGATCGGACCCACCGGTGGCGACTCGCACCTGTCCGTACACGCCGCCGGAACCCTAGGCTACATCGATCCGGAGTACTACCGGCTCCAGAGGCTGACGGCGAAGAGCGACGTCTACAGCTTCGGCGTCGTGTTGCTCGAGATCTTGTCGGGACTCAAGGCGATCCACAAGAACGAAGAAGGAAATCCGAGGAACGTCGTCGATTTCGCGGTGCCGTACATTCTGCAGGACGAGATCCACCGGATTCTCGACCGGAGAATCCCACCGCCAACGCCGTACGAGATCGAGGCGGTGGCGAGCGTCGGATACTTGGCGGCGGGGCGGAGGTGGTTAGCGTCTTGGAGAGGGCTATGGCGGCGGCGCCGGAAAACCTTTTCCGGTCAACGACTCAGTCTTCTGAATCGTAACCGCGTGAGGATAAAATGACGTGTCATAATCTTTTTTTTAAAATTTTTTGGATAGGAAATGATATTACTTAGTCGTGGTGTATTAATTTTACTATTTTTTTTGCAAATTAGAAAATAGAAATATAATGACAGGAAACTAATGTACAGTTTTTTGTTTTTCTCTTTTTGGATGAAACCAAAGGGACACTTGAAAACATTTATCTGATTTGTTAAATTCGAATTTCATTGTACATACGAAAAGTCTAAACCCCAATTTCTCGAATATAAAAGTAAGTCCACGTGAATATCATGGGTTCTATTTATTTACACTTCTATCCAATTAATTAAGTTGAATAAAATAACAATAATGAAATTTAAAATTGGATGTCAATGGTCCGTATACGAACGACAGGCATTATTATTATTATTATTATTATTAGGAAGACTAGACAATACGAGAGGCAAGTCAAAAAGATTTATCAAACACGGCCGAATACGAGCACATTTTCAAATTGCGACCAAGTAAAACGAATGTCTTGGTCCTTCACGTTGGAATCATATTGAAAGCCACATAAATGGTCAAATTAATTCAAGAATCTATTTGTCATATGGTTTTTTTATTTATTAAACAAGTATCTATACATACATATATATATAATATATATGAAAAGAAACCATATCTTTACTGCAACAAGTCCTCGTCGTCGTGTATAGACAACGTATTCACTCGCTCTATCGCTTTGGCCGCCTGAAAAAAAAAATCAAACACGTGAACCAAATGATGTAATTACATTTTAAAAAAACATTATGATTATGATATTGTAAGTTTTTTTTTTTTACCTCTTTATCCCAATCACAACGCATCGTTATAATGGCCAATATCACCGTTTGAACAAAAGTACCACCAAGAATCATCCCTCCCCACATGCCCTTTTAGTGTCACATGTCCAAAAACAAACCTCCATTAAAGCTCAGAAACATGAATCAGGAAATTCAAAAAAAAAAAAAAGACTTTCTTGCAACACAAGAAACAGGGAATGGATTTTCTTGCAACACAAGAAACAGAAACTCACCATGACACCAAACTCGAAGACCCATCCCATGATAGCTCCAAGTGGAACCCCGACAAGGTAGTAACATCCCAAGTTCACATAAGCCACCTTCGCCTGCCACCCCGACCCGACCGCCACCCCTGCCACGTCAGCAAACCGGTGTATGTTTGTTTTTCACATGGGTTTCCGTGTACCACAAGAAATCTAAAATTAGGGTTCGTATATATAAGTTGAAAAAGTTTTCTGGGTTTAGGGTTTTACCCGATAGAACAGGTTGGATGCTGTTCAAGAGAATGGTGGCGGCCAAAAGGTAAGCGAGAGAGTCGACTTCGGATAGAACTTGAGGGCTTGAAGTGAAGATGAGAGCGACCTTTTCCCGTAGTAACATTACGACGAGACAGAACAAAAGTCCGATCACCGTTGAATGTCCGACCGACACTTTGGTCGCAAACTTCGCTCCCTTTCCGTTCCCTGCTCCCAGCTCGTTCGCAACTCTCACCCTGCGTACACGTTTCAGAATATTGTTTGTATCCGACCGTGTAAGAGTGTAATGGTATTATTGTAATTAATGTAAATGATTTAATCTAGGGTTTCCATTGATTTTCAATATCAGTGATAATGAGAAAATAGATAGAAAAAAACCCTAGATTAAATCATTCAGATAACGTATGGATCGTTTTGCTAAGATCTCTTCTAAACTAATCAAAATTTGATACGACACCACCTATCAATGTCTCTGCACGAAAATTTTGGTCGCAACACAAAATTGCGTGGAATGCTACAGTTTTGCGACGAAAATGCGGGATAAAAATTTGCAACGCAGAATCCGTTATACTTAAACTATTTCGTGTTATGTATTTTTGGTAAACCCAAGGGATGTGTTACGTGGTTTGTAATTAAGATAGATTTGAATTCGGGGAATCTCCCATCTCTGTTGGTTTGAGAGCTCACTTCCCCAAGCGAGGTCATGAATTCAACACCCAGAGTATGGAGATTTCCTCCCTCGCCTGCCGGTTTCGACCGATTTACACCCACGTGTGTGTTGTAGGCTCGCATGCGTGGACCGGGATTAGTCCGGGTTCTTGGGTCTGATAAACCCGACTTATCAAAAAAAAAAAAAAGATAGACTTGAATATTTATATATGGGTCATGCTATGATCATCTTTCCGAGTTCAAACCGATTTTCATTGTTTTTCTTCTTTAAATAAATCCAACTAAATGTTGAACAAACTGTCACCTCAACTATGTATAAAAGCCTAAAATGTGATTTTTTAGAATAAACTTTCTCAAAACCTGTAACCATTCATTGGTTGATAATATATATATATATATATATATATTGATGGAGAATTTACCCTGTTGCGGCGAGGAAAGCCAATGGAATCATCATTTCCCAACCATTAATGCTCATACTGCGAAACACACATGGATGATGATGATGTTCATATCCACCGGCGGACAATAAAGAAGGTTCCATAACGAAACTCTTACCAAACAGACAACGCATCGACAGCTATTTTTGCATTTTTCAGATGTCCCGTCATTAAAATCAGTATCCTATAGTACCAATTCTCCAAACTGCAACAAAATAAAAATTTTAAAAACGAACCACAAAAATCACATTTTTCTATATCCGATACGTATTTTCAACAGTATATTCGATTAATAATATAGCCACGAAGCTAGGCCTAACGCACAAAATATATAATATATGATGGGACCATATATTGATAATAGCAGGATTTATGAACCTCAGATGAGTGGTTATCACAACAGTTAATACTAATTAGAAATTTAGAATATTAGTCCACTTATCATGGAAGTTAATAAAACTTCCAACATTATGGGGAAGTTAAAATTTCCAACAATATTAACTTTCTTGATATACATGCACTGATCTAAATTAGCAATACTGAATCATGTATTTCCAATTATTATGATTAATCTTAATTATTTAAACCAATTAATTTATATATAGAACTAAAGAAATCCAATAAAACCAAGCTAATGCTTTGTATAATAGGGTTAGGGGAAACTAAGGGTACCATAGCATGACACCGGCGGCGGCGGAGAGCTTGAAGAAGTCCCAAAGTCCGGTGAAAGCCTCCGGCGAGAAGCCTGTCCACGTCAGCGGACAGCCGCCGCATGACGAGTAGATGTATAGCCCGACCGGCAAAATGCACCACGAGATGTCCAGAGCCAAGCAGGCTCCGATGATTCCCCAATCAAACACACTCACGAATACCCAACTGGTCAATACGTTGACCACCAGTCCTGCGAATGATACCCACGCTATCACCTGTCGGAAAATTACAAAAATAAAATAAAATCATGCATATTTTTAATTTGCATGCATGCATATTGATTACGTATAGAGATTGAAAGTCAGTTATATGTAGGATTCTGTTTTTTTTTTCATCGGATGCAAAAATAATAATTGTAATAGTGCGCAATTAACACAATAATCCCATAAAATCATTACCTATATATAGTTGGTAAAATTTTCATAATAAGTTAAAAAAACGTTATGAATAATATGGCATCACATACTCTTGTGTTAATGGAAACCATATTAACTATTGGAAGAAAAACATGACAAGATATAAGGAAAAAAAATTACAATTTAACAAAAAACATTGAGGGTGGATAATGCACTCACCAGGCTATACATATATATATATATATGTATGTATGTATATATTATATACACATATACATAACAAATTATAATAAAAAAAAAAAGTTTGTATGCATTAATACCTGAGTTTTGAGTTGGCTCTGGAGGAAACGATGGAGAGGGAACTGAAAGGCGAAGCTGAAGTGGAGAGGAATCATCCAGACGGCGGCGACGCCGGAGAGAACTGCCACGTCATCAGGCTGTCCGAGGAGTTTCAGAATCGGCGTGGCGAAAGCGTAAAGCGGCAAGAGAAATAAGCAGCAGACGAGCAACACAATCCACGATCTCTGCAAGTACACTCCCAACATGTCGTAGCGTTTTGCTCCAAACGCTTGCCCGCACAGCGTTTCCAACGCACTCGCCATCCCCAACTGCCAAAAAAAAAAAAATTACTAGTCGAGAGTATTTTGGTCATTTTATTTAAACGCAGCAAACCGCTATTGAAACGCAAGTAAAAACTGCGATTAGATTTTCACATTTTTTTATTGTGATTGCAGACGATTACGATTAAACCAATTAGTTTCTCGATCACACGCAATCGCCATAAATCGTTTGCTAACTATTGCGTAACAACAAGTCGGTCTCTTCATGAACAAAAAAATTCTTTAAGAACTGGATTTTGATTTTTTACAGGTGTTGTAATGTTTGCAAGAGCTGTTAGACTAAACCTCCGGACCAAATCACCGTGATTATATATGATGTAACTTAGTTTACATGTTTTTTTGTTGGTAAACTAGGTGTCCTTGATTAATTCCGGGGTTGGAAAAAAAACCATGTACTGAAATTACATTTTTCTCCCTAATTTAAAACTCGAACTCTGGGCGACATTTTTGCGTACCCATTTTATCGGTTGAACTAACCAAGTTGGATTAGTTTGCATGTTTAGTTGTGGGAATGTAATAAATTCATGTATCTAACCGTATTTCAAATCTGGTCCACACACTGTCATGCTGGAATTCCGTTCTGATTTCCACGTGCTATAATGAATCAATATCGTCTGACAAATATGTACATTTGGTATTTTAAAAACTGAATTGAAAACATATGGAAATAAATTGAAATAAAAATTCAAGCAGTTATCCATGTAACCATAATCGATCCCTTAAGATCGAGTTTTTTTAGTAATTTTTTTGTAATAAAATATGTTATACTAAAACCCAAACTGATATTGTAATTACTAATTTGTAATTATGAATTTAACCTAGGATTTTCTACCTATATACGGACAGTATAATACGATGTACACACTCTGAAAATATATGTTTTGTTACAGTCCTCCATTTTTATTCCATCGATCATAACATCGATCTATTGTCTGAACTAATAGAACTAAAAATAAATATGATAATCTTATACTAAATCCCATACTACAGATATATGAAATATGAAAAAAAAACTATATGAATAAATATCCCAAGATTCTAATGATATTTGATTTCACATGTAATAAATCAAGCATGATAACCAATTCATCAAACAGAGATAATTTATGGTCCAGATTCATTGTTTGACCAAAGTTAGGTTCTCTGACTAATGTAATAATGTGTATCGGTCGATCATAAATTATTTGGACCGACTGACATGAGTTATAAATTCGATAATAATAATATATTAAATGGTGTGTTTGGTATTTGTCACTGTTTCGCTAAGAAAAAATTAGGTCTTGCATGAATTTAGCATTCACTTCACGTCCTCCTCTTTCTTTGATGACTTAATTTTGCAGCTTATATATGTTCTACTTCTGTACTACTCAATATTTCTTTTTAGTTTATTCATATTTATGATTCCTTGCGTTCTGTTTTACATTTATATGCAAACTCTAAAATAAAATCTGACAAAAAATTATAGAAAATATATATATATATCCACATTTAACGTAAAATTAGCCAATGGATGCATCATCCTTCGTGGGAAATAGATCATTCACTATTATCATATAGAATATCTTCTATAAAATTCCCAATTATATAACAGCGTACTTGAAAATTTTCACCGTCTTAAAATTATGTTGATTTGCCTAAAATCAATGTGAAATTGTAAGCAAATAATCTCCACTGTAACATTTTTTATAATGCAGAAATTTACTAGATCTTTGATCCGACTAGATCTACCGCAATATTAGTCTATACATATTTCGTTGTTTTTTTTTGGGTAACCGGGTTTCCTGGCCGAGGTCCAGACTAATCCCGGAGTCGGGAGCCAGCCATGTGATTTGAACTATGCGCTCCCTCCCCAGCCTAAGATTCGAACTCGGGGTGGGACAGACGCTTTGCACCCCCGTTTCACCGGTTGAACTACACAGGTTGGGGATATCTCGTTGTGTTTGTCTTGCTTTGTGTTTCAATTCGTGTTGGTGTGAGTTCAGAGAAATTGGGATTCAATTTGGGCTCAAGAACTTGCAGTCGAAGACCTCGAGTTCTAGGTTTAGGTAACCACAATTGTTCTCTCTAATTTTTTTCTTATATTTTTCTCACATCTTATATCATTATTGTTTAAGGAAATCAATATACTAACCAAATAATATAATTCTATTCTATCGTTTTTCGTTAATTTCCTTAAATAACCTACTTACCATGATATTCAACCTTACCATTTTTGTCCTACTCTAATTGAACACAAAACGTTAAACCCCGATCTAGATTTCGACCATGTACACCACTTACAAAAAAGAAAAATTTAAAAGCTTTTGGCGCTTTGTTAGATGGTAATATTCAGAATATAATAAGAGATATAACGAAGATTTGAAAAGATTATTATAATATTATGTTATATTTTTAGAGAGACAGAGCACGTACGAGGAGGCCGAAGTTGAAGCCGACGATGACGGAGTTGGCGATGGAGACGGCGGCGAGTTCGACGTCGCCGAGATGGCCGGCGAAAGCTTGAGTGATGACGTTCATGGTGTATGAAGCCACCCTGCTTATGATGCTGGGTGCCACTATCTGCCACAGCTTCTTCGTCTCCTCCCAAAATCTCCGGGAAAACACCTCATCCTCCGCCACGTCATCTTTCTCCGGCGACAAGAACGCCAGTCTCAGATCATCCCCGCCACCACCACCACCGTTCTCCATGTTGCGTGAGTTTGTCCCGATTTTGTTGTGAGGTTGGTTTGTGTGAATAAATATGCGATAGACATGGACGACGATATATATATATATATATATATATATAAAGGAAGACATCAGTCTTTATTGTTGGTTGTTTTTTCGAATAGTTAGAATCACGAATTACAGAAAAAATCTCATGTATCACACTACTGTTTAAATATTATTGGTCATGAATTGACTAATTATATATAAAAAAAAAGTGTCGTGGTATATAATTTTTTTTTATTATGATATAGTGGTAATATATATAGGGAAGGAATAAATCGATAACGAATGTTACATTAGAATCTAAAATTTTTAGATTTAATAGAACAAAAACGGTTTATATGTATTGCGATTTTAGTAGAAGATTTATTAGAGGTGTAGGTGTTAATTTGTAACGAGGAACAACACATCAAAACGGCATTTTAAATATTTCGATTTAATTATTAAAAAAGAAATCGGTTAAGATGAAAAAAATATAAATAGTAAATATAGGAAAAAAAATACTAAAAGGATATGTACAATGGTTTAACACGTAAAATATATATTAGAAAAGTAAAGAATATATTTTAACATCTCGATTTTTTTCCCTTATAATATGTTAAATCGGCATATTACAACAGCAAAGATAATATATAATAGTCGCGTAAATGTATAAGGAAAGCTCATTGTAACTCACCAAAAAATAAATAAAAGAAAGCTAATAGTATAATCTAATATCTTATATAGGAACGTTTTTTTAATATAATTTTCTTTAATTTATCAGGTGATTGATATCTTGAAATTATGACGCACCCAGATATTACTCAAAATTAGTTTTTTTCATTTAAGGAAATCTGACTACTACAACATAGAGATAGTTGCAGTAAAACTCATACGCACCACACTCCCCCTGAGTGTTAGCCCTCCTATGACACGAAATCTACTGATTCAACACACAACCCGTGTGAATCCCCACTCTCACGTTCTGGGGTTGTTCAGATTACAGTTGAGAACTCCCCCTCAGAACGATCTCACTCACCAGAAATAAAAACGTAAAGACCAAAAACTCTTGTACTCTCTGAATGATAATCTTTTAAGCTCGGTACCTCCTATCTTCCTTTTTGTCGTTCTTATATAGCTTTCTCTTCAGCTCCAATTGTTTGTTGATTTGATTCTATCTTTTTCTCCAAGGTTGTTGGCCAAACTCTATCTCCAAGATTCCATCTTTATCTCTTCCACAAAATCAGCTTTAGAATCTTCTCAGATCTACCTGCAATAACAACCTTAACATTCTCCCCCTTTTTGACTTTCAACTCATTCACACCCAAAACAAATCGTTAGAATAATGATCTCCCCCTGACATCAGATGTATTTCACTTGAGATGTACTTCACTTGAGTTGTACTTCACTTGTCTGAAGTATTCGATCCATATCTCCCCCTGTGTATGAGATGAAATTCAAAAAACTCTAGAGTATATATCCAGACATTTACTACTCTGATTTTCCGATTCCCACTTCAATCAGTTTTGCAAACTCATTCACTCAGATTTGAACAGATTGTAAAAAACATACATCATTTAAGATCATATGAAAAATATTTCACACACAATCAGATCATAACGTCTTGAGTCAGTCTAACCATCCAAATAATATTCTGACCAGATTTATGAATGTTCTGTCAGCTACACTGTTGAAGTAGGAAAATGAATTTGTGATTGGAGGAAAATCTAGATTTTGGAGGAACACAATATTATGTTAAATATTGTGAATCATATTTATTTTCTTTATATCTATATTTTTTTTTATTTCATTTGTTAATTTTCCTATAAATATGTGAGTTATTTTCATTGTAATGAAACAAGAAGAAGAAGAGATGTAGCAATAAAAGTAATTCCGTTCCTTTCATTTGTCTTATTCTGTTTCCGCATTTTATTTTTCTACATGGTATCAGAGCCTGGTTCGATCTGCTCTATATCTTTTTTTTTTCTCAATCTCTTCTTTTTTTTTAGTTTTGGATGTTCATATATCCAAATCGTTCAAATAGGAGTAAAAATCCCAAAATCAAACGAGGTGCTGTGACAAAAAGAAGTCAAACCTAAAAACTCTAAGATCAAGCGAGGTGCTATGACAAAAAGAGTTAAAGGTAGAACTTCAAAGTCAAGCGAAGTGATTTGAACATGGGTAATATTCTCTAAAAGAACTAAATTTGGTGTTTATGGATTTTTCAAAAGACAATGAAAATGTCTATGGATTTTTATCGCATTATCTTTTCAAGATTGATTTTTGCATTCTTTCAAAATCAATCTTGAGAGGGAATGTTGAAGTAGGAAAATGAATTTGTGATTGGAGGAAAATCTAGATTTTGGAGGAACACAATATTATGTTAAATATTGTGAATCATATTTATTTTCGTTATATCTATATTTCCTTTTATTTCATTTGTTAATTTTCCTATAAATATGTGAGTTATTTTCATTGTAATGAAACAAGAAGAAGAAGAGATGTAACAATAAAAGTAATTCCGTTCCTTTCATTTGTCTTATTCTGTTTCCGCATTTTATTTTTCTACATACACTCACTAATCATGAAAGACTTCTCACATCAGTTTCTTTTGTTCAGCACACGGAGAACTATTGTAACTAACATTTTGGACTTCTAGGACGTTGAAATCAACAAGTGGTTCTTACCATTTAAGTCCAGACTATCTCTTTGAGATATACTCTTGTCTCGTTTGAAACGTTACAGAGGAGTATTTCAGTCTCTTCTTTTTCTTTTTCTTTTTTATTTTTACCGTCAGCCCTTAGACCATCGTTTAGAACTCTTGTTTCACAACTTAGACCCGAGCCATTGTTTTTCAATCCACTCATATCATCATTTCTCATAACAGAGGAGTGTCAGAATGTTAGTCTTTTCTTTTTTTTTTTCATTCTTTTTTTTCACTCTCGTGAGAAGTATCTGACTGATTCGCAAGTGTTTTTGACTCTCATATTCATTCTCTTAGTCAAACTACCTTCAGAATAGTTTTTCCTCATCAAACACATGTTTCACCGATTTAAATGAAAAAACTATTTTTCATAACTCACAAATTCCAACAAATCTTTGTAAACACATAAACATATTCATCTCATGAGATTTAGTGAATATGTTTGTCAATTGATTTTCAGTGGGATCGTACTTAATGAGTAGTAAAGAGTTAGAATAAATACCACAATCTGAGAGAATTTGTTTCATCAATACGAGTTACATGCGTCATCATCCTGCAGATCTTTCTCATCTACGTCTTGCCTCATCAATGTTATACTTCTCTTTCAAAGTCTGATTCTTCTGGTTCTGTTTGTGAATCTCTCATTTTTCTTTTTTGCTGGTGTACTTCTGAGCCAGTGCAATCTCGTCGGACGTCAAACATTCCTGGGGGAAAACTGTGAGAAATCATCAATGCAAACATATACGCACCTTTTTCTACTGATATTCTCAATCTGGATTGGTCTAATTTGTTCCAAGATTTGTGATGTACGGATTCCTTGAGCCCTGACTTGTTTAGCATGTTGAGATAACTCTAAAAGACCTCGAGCGACATCTACTGCTTTGAAGCACTGGTGTTCCTTGATATTCTCATCCATCCAGGTATAGCAATTATTTGGGGTCTTTCTCCTTGTGAGAATACACTCATTTGTTTGATTAGAAACAAAACATGCATTTTTGGTGAACTTTACATTCATCCCATCGTCACACAACTGACTAATGCTGATCAGATTTGCTCTCAACCCTTGTACAACATTTACATCCTTCAGTTTTGGAAGTCCACTGACATTCAGTGTCCCCTTACCTAAGATCTTTCCCTTTTTTCCATCTCCAAAGGTTACACTTCCTCCTTTTGTGTTTTGAACGAAGTTTGAGAGAATCTCATGATTTCCTGTCATATGCCTAGAACATCCACTATCAAAATATCAATGATCATTAGTGTTCACCTGTTGAGATGTATGAGCATTACAGTGCAATAAATCCTTTCGTACCCAACATTGTCTGACTTGACTAGTGAGAGAATAATGATGAGACTTACCTGCCCTGAAGCGATAAAGATAGCAGTTCCTACGAATATGCCCACATCTACCACAGTTGTAACATCTCCGAGTTTCAGTCCAAGAGGATCGCATATCCTCTTTGATTCTTGGAGTTTGTCGAGGAAATTGTTGTACCTCAGCTAGATTTGGGCATTGTTGTAACTCATCAGAAAGTTGTCCTCCAGATACAAACTTCCTGTCAGTTTTGCTTGCCTCTCCAGTGTACCCTAACCCAGTGTGGTTTGAGCTTTGTCTTCCTTGACTTAGAATGAAATCCAGTTTCTTTGTCCCATTTCCAAGCATATGCAGATTCTTCTTTGTCTCTTCAAGTTGACATTTTGCATTTGTCGTTTCTTCAATCTGCTGCTCCAGTTTCTTCTGAGTTTCCTTGAGTTCTGACTCAAGTCTATTTTTCTCCTTAACAAGCTTCATGTTGATGTCATACATCTTCATCAAGTCATCATAAACTTCATCAATCTTCAGATCAGCCTCCAGGTCTTCTGTCATCATAACATCATTCTCATCGATTATTCCGATAAATGCCACATAGTTGTTCAGGGCTTCCTCATCGTCTTCCGACTCTGATTCTGAATCTTCATGATTAATTAATGATTTCCCTTTCACCGAGGTTGTGCACTCATTCTTGGTGTGTCCAAAACCCTTGCACTCATAACATTGTACTTCTTTCAGGGTTTTGATCATTGCTTCTCTTTTAATGATTGATGGACATTCAGCTTTCCAATGTCCATAGCCTTTGCACTCCATACACTTTCCACTCGATTTTCCTTCTGTTCGTTGTACGGTGCTAGGTCTTCGTTTGAAGAAGTTCATCTTTTTGACAATTAGAGACATGTCTTCCTCAAGCTTATTTCTGGGTTCAGATTCCGGAACATGAAATGCAACTGGCTGTTTACGAGATGTTCCTGACGGAGTCTCATACATATCATGTGCCGCAAACATCCCTACAGTTTCTTTGAAGCTAACTGTATCAGTA